GGACTAGAACCCAAGCCTATATCTGAAACAAGAAGTACTCAACAGTTTTACAAGTAGGTCTTTAGCTTTCGCCACCACCACAACCTCCCAAAAAGTGAGCACAGTCAAGACAACAACAACACTGCAGTCCCAATGTAAAAGTTCTTCCCTATGAGGTGATGCATGTACCATTACATCTAGAGTGTGTCATCTTACTCTGAATACCAGTGCAGGCTATTGGGGGTTCAGAAAAATGTAACAGCAAGAAAAATTAGTTACTGCCAAGAATAATTGCTTCATCCCCAGCAGTGTTCAAGGACAGGTTGGACAGCCCCTTGGGCAACACGGTTTAGTGTGAGGTGTCCCTGCCCATGGCAGGGGTGTTGGAACTAGATGATCTTAAGGTCCTTTCCAACCCAAACCATTCTGTGATTCAATGATTCTCTGTGTACAGAAAATTACAGAGAAGTATGTGCAGTGTGCCTTGCTATGGCTATGGGCTACAGGCTTATGAAGGATGCCAACACTAAAGGAGAAAAAAGGATTAATTTGTTCAGAGGAAGAAATGAACTCTTGTCCATGCTTGTATCAATAGAAAACTCTTGAGGTCCGTCTCCCTAAACAAACACACGGGCGTTCCCAAGGGAAGATGCCCTTCAGAGATAAAAATCAGACTGTACAAATCAACAGAAACATGCAAGAGGGAATGCTGCTGCATGGGATTACAGTATGCAGCAAGTCCTTTTTCAGCACTGATATCTGTGTGTCTCTTGCTGAGGCCATTTTATGTTGAAGGAGACAAAGAAATCCATGAAACCCCATTGTAGAAGGCAAACCACCTAATTTCCATCTTACTTATTACAAAAAAAAAGGAAAAATCTATTTTCTCTCTGATTCAGAGCATATGAATAGACATGGGGAAGTGTTCTTGCATCCACCTCTAAGTTCAAAGTTCCAAGAACTGCCCAGTTCCAAGAACTTTTTACCACAAGGTATTAGCCATAGCTCAACATGAGTAACTAATGACATCGTGTCAGACAAGACAAAATGATTGTTTTGATAAAACTAAAAAGAAAGAAAGAAAGAAAAAAACACAGAACTAACTCCATGGTAATACAGAGTAAGCTTCCTCAGAGACAAGGGGTATGCAAATAGTTTCAGAGGACTTTTACCTATCTCAACATTCTTCACTATCACTATACCTGGGCAGCCACTGCACTAATTTTCAAATCTTTTAAAAGCCTTTGCACTCATGGTTTTTATGTTTTACAGTGGGGAAACTAAAACAAGATGCCCAAGGTCACAGAAGGCATCAAGGGCAGAGCCTTGTGTGAGAGCTGAACTTGCTTCTCCTGAATCCTTAGGAAACACCTCCGTTTTTCACACACTCCTATCTGACATCATTACAGTCTAGTGGAGATCAGATATGCTGCAAAGCTACTGCAACATGCTCACCAGGGACAAAGAGTAAACTGGAGATCACTGCAGTGATTCTGACTATGTATCTAGAATAGAGGAAAGCATATTCTCCAGCTCTCCACTGATAGTTTGTTTACAATGCTCCCAATACTCAGTTATTCGGTAAGGAGTGGAATCTCATTCCACCCTTCTAAACTTTGCACTTCTCCCTTTTCCAGTCTCTGTATGAAATTAGCTCAGCATAGCTGAGACCCATTTGCTCAGCAAACAGCAAGAAATAATTTATTGCACCAAAGGAAATTGTTCTACTAATTGTCCTGATACAATTGAGTGTTAGCACCTTCACAGTGCTCTTCAACATTAGGAACAGTGAAATTTCTAAAAGGAAGGCATAAAACACTGTCTGAATCCACAAAGTGCACTTCCTGTTCTGAAACATTTGTCTCTAGTTCTACCTTCGCTTGGGTCAAATGCTGTTTCCAGCTGCACTTGTAGCATAGCTCTTGAACTTCCAAGCTGGCAGAGATGAAGATGCACAGGTTAGGACTGAATCTTGCCTTTATTTTGGTAAATGCCATCAGAATGTCATGGAAACAGAGAATGAGTGGAGGCCTGACAAGCTATCAGCTCTGTGTATGACTGCAGAAACTTACCCTATGTCCCTGCTGCACTGGAATGAGTAAGGGTTGAAAGAAGTTATTACACTTCACCTAATCAACAAAAACAGCAATAAACAGCAATAAGGCTGGAACCAAAAAACTCTCAGACTTAGCAGACCTAAACCAAAGCTTTACACACAGTACCAAAGTCTGAACAAGAAATTAGCTAATTTTCCTGATTTCTGAGGCGGTTTGGATTTAGGACCAAAGCCACCTCTCAGGCACTTCTCTAAATAAAAAATTCTTACCAAATCAAATGAGAGGAGTCCATGCAGGAGTTGCAAAATCCCATTTAATACCTCCTAAGTCTCACGACCTGAGATCCACCTCGTTATTTCCATACCTGGTATAGGAAGACTAATCCTGGAATATGATCTTCTATTCTGTTGTCCTCACCTTAAGAAGGATGTCTGAAGTAGGAAACAGTTCACCAAGATGATATAAACAGTTTGAAATCTGGAAGCTTTACAGGAAGATTGACAGCCTTAAGAACCTCTCTTCCTATCCAGTTTAGCTAAGAAAAGGTTAAGAAGTTACTTTATCTAAAAGCACCTATATCAGGAGTAGTCTTTTGACAATATTTAGCAGGAAAGGAGATAATGAGATTTAATAGTTGGAAACTGAAGCTTGACTAATTCAAACTATAAATAGGGCACTTAAAAAAAAAAAAGGCAAATAAGGAGGATAATTAACCATTGAAAGAACATCTAGAGACCTTATACCCTCCCCATCACTGAAGTCTTTACATGAAGAGCAGGAATCTTTCTGCATAACATGCTGTAGTTCAATTACTGGACCCAAACATAGGAGTTACTGAGTCAAGTTCCGTAACTCAAGTTGTACCAGAGATATTTCAGGAATTCATAATGTTCCCTTCTGGTCTAACTATGAACCTACATACTTTAAGCAGTGGTTTTCACAGTGTTTGAGTGAGTTGGACGGTAACAGCATTTGGGTCAATACTGACTGCATACTGAGCTATACTATACTAACAGGAACCACAACTAGTAAAGCTGTGTAAACGTGCTCCATGTTGTTTATGACCTGAGATACTAACTTTGTGGAAGACTGTCCCACAGGTATTTAATGATTTAATCGTCTGGTTTTATACAGACTGGTGTGAAAATACAAATAGGAAAGAAGCCTCCTTGCAAGTTAAAAAATGTGCCAATCAGAAGACAAACTGGGACAAAAATGAAGACGAAAGGCTGGATGACACCTAAAAATTCTGGGTGGAAAGTCTTCACTGGGAGGAAGCCTTATAAGCTTCATAGTGCCTAGGAAGCTGGGCAGATGATAGGAAGGAAGCAGGTAGTAAAAACAATGCCCCACCCCTTTCAGTATCAAGGGTCTCTGCCTTCCTGCCTTCTGCATCTGCCAGACCCAGCAGGGAAGGCAGGAAGTGATTGGAAAGCCAGCCCTGATCCTAGCTGTGGAGACGGCAGACAGTGGCTCCCACAGCAGAAGTAAACAGTACCAACTAAGGCAATGGGAAAAGAAAAAAAGGAAAAGAACCTGAGATCCTGGAGATTAAAAGCACCAGTGGGAAAAGAACTGCTGGAGAACTGTTTCTGTGTTGGGTTTTTGTGTCCAAGTTTTGGGTAAAGCAAAGAAATGCCTTCTAAGTGTGGCAGCAAGTCCTCCCCAGGCCAGGGAAACAGCCCAGCAGCCACAAAGATGGGGAAGCAGCATCTGGAAGCTCACAGATGCTCAGAGGCAGCAAGACATGGTCTGAACAGATGTTCTGACCAGACATGGTCAGAAATGCTGCAGTGCCAGCTCCCATTCCCATTGGAAAGCAAGAAAAGGGACAACCCAGGTTCTGCTGCAGCACACACAGAAGTGCAAGTCTTAGCAGAGTAAAAGGCAGCAGTTGGGAAAACCAGGATAAGGCAGAACGCAGCATGGGCAATGAGAGACCCTGGGGCAGAGCAACCACCTTGGTGGCCAGCAACAGAGCGAGCATGGAATCACAGAAGTGCTGGGGGCACAGTTTGCATCCAGAAAAGGAGTGTTCCTGGGAGACAGCTGAGGACAAGAATGAGAATGTCTTGTGATAAACACACACTTTCCAACCCACCCCTGAAATCCCAAACCCATTTGTCAGATGGCAACACACAAAGTCACACTTGCTCCTGGCCCTGTTGCTTGTTGTCGCTCAAGTACCCCAAGAGTGTTAACACCCAAGGAAAGTTTCAAGCAAACTTCTCAATTTGCATCAGAAGTGCTTCCCCTCCAAAAAGGAAAACTCTTTTCCATGTTCCCATCCTATTTCACTAATTCGCCTCTCGCTGGCCAACAGTCCTTGGTGTTTCCTATTCCTCAAACATTAAATTATCTCAGCAAGAAAGTGCCTGGCTCTCGCCCTGTCCCCAGCTCCAGTTTTTGTTCCAATGTCAGTGAAATGCCCTTCCGCCTTTGCAGCATCCTTTTGCGCACAGCTAAGATCATCCTTCCTCCTTCCCCACTGCCTTTGTCAGCACACACATTCTGTAGCAGACAGCCTGGGCACCACGAGTATTTAATATTGAGACTCATAGCAACTTGAAAAATACTCACAGCACAAACACACTCCACTTGCCACAGGTTTATGAAACTCTGACCTTGTGTCACAGCACATCGCTGAGCAATTCCTATACTGTGCAAGGAAACATAGTACTTCCCGTCAAAATAAAACCTCCACATTTGTGCCTGTCACGAGAAATTAGCCAAATGCTTGACAAGGAGTGCAGGGGAAGCAGGTGAGGTGGGAATATAATATAATGTATTTAAGAGTAATTTCCCTTGGTTGAAAAGATCAAACCAGCTAGAGCTTTATAAAAAAGGAAAACAAGTCTAAAGCCAGAGAGCTTCCGCATTTCCATAAACACAGAGACACCTCCTCACGCCACCCTGCACCCTCCTCAATCCAAGAGGGTAAGAAGCCTCCGCGCTGACACTCACGCAGGTGTGCTGGCAGTCTGATCGCGTCTTCCTCCATCCTGATCGTTCGCGGCACTGGGACATGTAGTGGTGTCGAGGAAGTGTAATTTGGTACCGGGCTCACTGGAGGTGTGTACGAAATTCTTTCCTGCTGTTAAAAAGAAAGCGGGGAGGGGGGAAAGACAGGGAGGACAACGTGAACTTTGGAACAGAGGTGTGAAACCAAGGCAGGGCAGGGGGAAGTGGGTGGAAGGAAGGAAGTGTGCGCACACGGAGGGGGCGAGCAGCAATAGCGATGCAGCCAGCTGCCCAGGGAGCACACAAGCGCTGCGCAGGAGACACACTGCTGCAGCTTTCAGGGTGATGGGGCTACTTTTCAAAAGGCCCACCAAGTTTCCAAGGGTTGTCTCAGAAATCTGCTGAGGGAGGAAAGGGAAGTGACACACAAGTTGGGGGACTCTGAGGGTTTTATGTCTGACAGCAACCTCACCATACACTCGTGAGTACTGTTACAGAAAGTGCCAAAACCACTTTGTCTTATGCTAACAAGTCAGTTATGATCTGAGCACAATATATAAAGTGTTTAACACTTTATCCTTTCAGAGCATTTTAAAGACACTAAGCAATTAGTTTTCTCTTTGCGGCAGAAAACCACTCTATCACTAAAATCTGTTCTATTTACCATTGAGTAATTTTGAGTAACCATTGAGTACTTTTTTTCTTGCCTAAAGTAGCTACTAGCACTTTCTTTGAAGTAGTTTAACTTGCAACCAACCAAGTAAGTCAGCATACAGAAAACAGCTACACAAGGACAGAGAAACAGACTCAAAGGGCAATTTGTGAATGTTACATTAGTTTCATAATAGTCACTGAAAACGCCTGCCAAGAAATTTAAGACTGAAATTTCATCTGATCTGATGGGAAAATTGTTCCATATTCTAATCCTTACTCCAATCACAGCACGCATTATACCCTTTGTAAATAAACATAGCCACGATTTTACAGGAGCATAAAAAAATCATTATCGTGTGCTTCCTGGAAGGCAGTGTGCGTTATTCCCCAAAACCCTGCTGCTGACATTTAACAATGGCAGTGCAAACAGTGTGGATTTACATCCACGGACATACAGAGGCAGAAGGAGCTACCTTCCTTTCTGAGTATTTGCAGGAAAGTGTGTGTGCAGCCCCCTACCCCATCTCTGGCAAGTGGAAAGACAACGTTGGTGCTGGAGCATGAGAAGGCAATTACTTCCATTATGAACCACAACATTATCACAGCAGTGCAGCAGGGAACTAGACTGAAGCTGATGGAGGTACCTGCAGAACATGACATTAGCACCCTCCCCACCAAAGCGGACGGGAGGTTTGTACAACATGAGTAAATAACAACTATACGCACCAAAGCAGAAAACTCTTTAGGCAAACTAGGTGACATATCCAGAAAGAAATGGGGCATGGAATACTGAGGACGTCCTTCATCTCTCAGCCACCAATTCAAAGTGAGCCCAGTTCATTCTTGTGCAAGGTGCTGCTATCATCTTGCTGCTCAGCGGCTCACAAAGAACCAGAAGTTTTGCCTCAACGTCCTACCACTATACTACAGCCACCACTGACGACAGTCATGGCAGAGAAGCCTGGTGGCTGGTAGAACATGAACATCTTACTGTGTCCCCTCAGTTTCTTTCTATTCATCATTGTCCAGGCAACAGCAATCCATTGGCTCCTATCAATTTAGTTTTTCATAGTTAACAAACAGGGACATTCATTGAGATGTGGCGAAAGACGTACCAGTGGAACTACAAAACATTACTCTGCTTTCAACTGATGCAACTCCTTCCCTGACCCGAAACGGCTGACTCTGTGCCTCATGTTCCCACAAGGTGCAGCTCCCTGTGCCCATTCTGAGGTCTTGCTGACCATTTGCACCTTCTCACCCCTGGTACATACCCAGCAATTCCCAACAAGACCAGCCACTTTTTAGCATTTCCTGCTGCGATGCACAGCTCAGATAATCGAACCACACTGCAGCTGCTTGTTTTGTGTACTGGATGAGACTGAACCCAGGACACAGGAGATGAAATTAAATCCAGAACCCTGTGCACTTCCCTCAGCACCCAGGAGGTGTTGTAGCAAACTGAGACATGCTTCCAGTACCTCCTGCCTTTTTCTCCAAACTGTTCCACCTCCTAAAGCCATATGGTAACCTTATTTATACCAGACAGATTCATTGAGATTTTGGTGTTATAAATATATACATCAGAGTCATTGTTTCCTAGTACTCATGAGAACAGGACACTAAAAATCAAAAAGAAGTTGTGGAAATAATTTTTCCACACACTTTTGATATCCACAATAATGCGTGAATTGGTAGTATTTGCAGAACACATTTAACAGGGCACAAACGGGAGTTAGCTGTTAGTGCCTTTGAAATGCCCTCTCTTTCTAATCCTGCATTTTTTTTTCCAGCACCTTTAACCCAAATATCAAAGCAATTTACAGGCATGAGGTAAGTCTTTTTCTTTTTATTAGACACACAGGCAACCTGAGTTACAGAAAGAGTAAAGCTCAAGTGAGCTGAGTAATTTCAGAGTTAAGCTGTCTTGGAAAAGGACAGCATGTGCCTCTCAAGGGCAATAGATGTAGCAAGTGCATCCTGAAAGAGTAGCCCTTGTAACTGTCCTGGCCAGACTTCCAGAAGGTGTGGAATGGTAATGGCACAAGGCACTGGGCTTGTGAAAAAGTGAGCTTCGTCCCTCTTTGCAGCATGAGTCAGTAACACGGCTGGATGCAGAACTGCAAACATCAGTCCAGTTCTGCAACCTACTGCAGCTCTGTGCTTCAGCCACACATAACTGCCAGCCTACACATCCCCATGAACACACAAGGTCACATTTGCTCCTCCAGGCTTTTTGAGACTTTTTAGAGTCACACTTCCAGGAGGTACCTGTTGTGCTCACACCACTGTGAACAGATTTGCTTCAACCTTCACAACTCCAGAACTCCCCAGTGCTTCTTTCTGTGGAGTCCATCAAACAAGAACATGCCTGGTTATCTCATGCTGCTAAGGTTAGGCACCCAGCTACTCCGCTACTGGGAATCCTCCTGAAAGAGTTCCCTGACCTATCAGTTTAATATTCACCTTTGCATTTAGGCCAAGAATAGATGGTTCAATGGTAAGGTTGTTCAAGCAACGGCTTGGGAGGAGGGGTAGGTAGCGCTGGTAGCAGAACCAGCCTGAACCCTGTGTGTACTTGAGCAAAAAGCTTTGCTGTAACTTAGGTCTACTGTTAAGAGTCTAAACCAATACATATTTCATGCAGCCTTTTGAGTTTATTGCTGACGAGTGCTAGGAAAAAGCTTGGCATTACCACATTACAGATTTGCCGCCTGCCAGGGGACTCTATAAACATTCAACCCCACAAGTGACAAATGCTCAGCCCCAAACAACTGCCGTCTGCAAGCAACTTCAAAATAGCAGCTCTCTACTATTTTGCCAGTAGCCACAATGAGGTGGACGAAACAGTTGGCATATTGCTTGCTGTCATCATTTTTGAAAGGCTTCTTCAGCTCACAGTGAGTCAGGAAAGTTTCACCATGAAATTTCACCTTGGCTACTCTTACTGAAGACATGCATTAAGTCAGCATTTATGGAGACCCTCCTTGGGGTGGGGTCTGGTGGCTAGGGATCCAACAGTGCCACCCAGACAACCTGCCAGGTCTGCTGAGAGCGCAGCATGCTTTTAGCTGCCTGACATAGCAGAGACAGAAACAGATGGTTAGAAACAAGACAAGCTACGGTTCTGTTCTCTTTGTACTACAAAAATACAAAATACTAATATCCAGGTGCTGAAAAAACCTTGGATCAAGCCATCCTGACTAAAAAAGGAAGGTAACTCAAAAACTGTATTGATCATGGCTAGTAGAAGTGTATGTAACAGCTGACTAGACTCCCAAAGCTATCAAAGCACACCCTGATTCCAGTCTGGAGAACTGGGAAGATCCTTTACAGACAAAAATGTACCTGAACAGTTAGAAAATTCTGTCCAGAACACAAATAATTCATAGAACAATAGCAATAACAACTATAACAGTAACAATTCAAAATGGCAAAACATGGTTTTTAAAAAGTCTTAACAGTTGAAGATAAGGCTGCAAGTAACAACAGCTTCACGCCTTTGCTAAAATTACACCCTTCTAAACTCCACAGCAGCTGCCTTCATTGTGAACGCCCTCCGGCTTGCAGTCCTTTTGTCCCTTTACCAGCTTCACTCAGATGGCAGACACAAAGGCCATCCATATTTTTGCAGAAATGGAAATACAACAGGTAAGAAAGCATGCCGAGCAAGCCCTCATGTTGTCCCAGTGACACAACTACTTCAGTAGCTGGACAGGTGGGATACTGAAAGGACTTTTTTTAATTGCTAAAGCAAAGAAATGGTTTACCTGTTCAGCAATTTCCAGGAAACTAAAACAACCAACGTGGTTTGCAAACACCCTGCACTGGACAAAAAAGGCAGCTGACTCTTACCACTGCATAAAAATCTACTCCTACACTGCATGTAATAATACTACTACACAGAGCAAAATTAACTGAGAGTGAAAGCTGACACACATTTGCCCCTCAGGCTGCTGGCGTACGTGTGCCACTCCATGCCTGTCTTGTTGCATTTGCTGTTCATCTTCGCTTCTCCAAACAGCCCAGGCTCCCCCTGCTCCCAGAGAAGCAGGCATTACCACAAGGCAGAGATACAGTGAGTTGTGCTGCGGTAACTATCAGGAAGCCAACTGTCGTGAGTGAAAGAGAAGAAAGTTACCTGTCACATTGTCACAGGCAATCCCTGCTTACTCACAGGACAGTGGTAGCAGGACACTGCTTTAAGGGAAGCTTCCAGCTCCCTGGGGATCATGTCATCACTCTGCTCCAACTGCTCACCTGTGGGACGCACACTCAGAGAGGGCAGCACTAGCATGTTTGCAGGTGTTCTGGTGCCTCCTGGATTTCTGGGGAAGCTCTAAGGCTTAAAAAACCCAGAGTAACAAGCCCTTGGCTTGTGTAAATCCAGATTTGAAACATAAGGTTGTAGCTCTCAGGGCTGTGAAAGCTGGTGTTCTGGACAGAACAGTGTGCCCCAAATCACAGAGGATGTTAGCT